ATAGGGTCAACTAAATTAATGCAAACGTCAATGGGAATTAAGTCTCATAATTCTTTGATTTTATTAAATAAATCAGCATAATTTGTAGGCTTAATTCCTTTCATTTAACGGTCAACATGTTCCCATAGATGTTCAATGGGATTTAAGTCAGGTGATTGGGATGGCCACTTCAAAACATTAACTTTACTCTCTTTAAAAAAATCTAAAACCGATTTAGCTGTATGTTTGGGATCGTTATCCTGTTGGTAAATCCATCCTCGAGGCATTTTATCCTTTGCATATGGTAACATAATAGTCTTACATATATCTTTGTACTTTTCTTGATTCATATTCTCGGTAATTCTATGGAAAGGACCAACTCCATTTCAGCTAAAACATCCCCAAACCATTACATTACCTCCTCCATGTTTTATGGTAGGCAGTTGGTATTTAGGATTGTACCAAGTACCTACTGGACGTCGAACATACCTGATTCCATGGGATCCAAACAGCATAAATTTGCTTTCGTCACTAAAAAGAATTTTTGACCATTTTTGACTACTTCACTTTAGACGTTTTGATGCAAATTCCATTCGGGCGTTATGGTTTTTCAAGGAAACTAATGTTTTTTTAGCTGGGCTAAAAAACCATTAGTTTCCTTGAAAAGGAAATTAGTCATTATAATCTAGTCATTATTATTGCGGTTTTTAAAAATTTTTAAAAAAACAATAAAATTTAATGTACTTCCGCATTAATTTAATTGCTTTGACATTTCGCCAACAATCAAATACAGCTTAAGAGACGAGGTAATTAAAATTGTAGTCGTAAGAGACTTTTTTTACATTAAACGACTCTTTCGACTACACTATAAGGAGATATATATATATATATATATATATATATATATATATATATATATATATATATATATATATATATATATGTATATATGTGTATATATGTGTATATATATATGTGTATATATTATATATATATATATATATATTATATATATATATACACACACATATATATATATATATACACATACATATATATATATATATAATTTGGCCTTTTCAGAAATTGGACCTATAAGCCATTCTCATTGGCTAAGATTAGCATGCATTCTTGTGGTATTATGAATCTATTTCCAAACCTACTAAAAAATCTTAAGCTTATTGCAGAACTTTTTAAAAGTGTATTTTTTTAGTTGGTTTGGTATTAAGATGATTAAATATTCAACTGATGGTCCCATAAACCTATTTAATGTGATTCAAAGAATCAATAAATGTCCTGATTCAAATACTAAGAACATTTGGTTAAGAATAACAATGAAGCCAATGCTAGTGATTATAACTCAATGAGTGAAGATGTGAGTTTTTCTTTCAATGAGTGTTTCAATTGGCACACAATTCCACCGGTTTTAATTAAATATGAAATACTTGAATTTATAGTAAAACCACTTAAGTTCAGATATGAGTGTCGCAGCCAAAAAACAAAAAAACATTTTACAGAAGTAGTCTGTTGTAATATTTTTACAATATCACTATTTTAACTAAAAAGCAATAAAAAATCTAAATTTTTGGCAATAACTTCATAAATATAGTTTCAGAAAAAAGTGTTATTTCAATAACAATTTTCTTAATTTAATTCTGCAAATTTTGGTACCTATTTAATGCTTGTAGCATATTTATGATTATTTTTGCAATTTTTAACCCATAAAAATGTCAATAATTTCACATTTTGAAACTTAAACCCTAGTGGGTCAGCTAAAACTGGTAA